GTGTGTGTGTGTGTGTGTGTGTGTGTGTGTGTGTGTGTGTGTGTGTGGAGGGGGTGTGTGAGGAGAGTGGCAGAACAGAGTGGGCACGTGCATGCTCTTTAGCAAAGTGCGTGCTGCAAAAGGGCATGTGTGTGTGGAGGAGCATGGCTGTGTGGTTTGTGCGGTTAAATACGCCGGCCGTTACGTGGCTGCTGATCTGAGCACGATGAGACCAGGAGAGAAGAGAAGCGGAGGGAGCATACGCGCTTTTTTAAAGATTCAGCCTCCAGCATGAAAAGCTGACCTTATTTCACAATCAATCACCCAAGGCAATAAGCAGGGAAACGCCTCCTCATGTTGGCTGTGTAATGGTAGGTTCGGGGGAGGGGAGGGGGGAGCAAATATTGCTGGTTATTGTCTCATTGAACCCAGTAAGGTGATGAGTTCCTCCGACCAGCAGGCCTGAGCTCATTTCTTCACAGCCAGTGCCTGCCTGTCCAAACACTTGATGAGCTGAACAGCTGCTCCTTTGCTCCAGGGTAAGAGATACAGACAAAGATGGCCAAAGAAAGATCAAGGGCAAGAAAATAAAACCTCAATAAAAACTGAAAGCTGCATGTTGACCTTTCATGGACTGGGAGCAACGGAAACTTTTATTACAACTCCACCTGATTCAAACAAACATTTTCAGCTTGTGGGACTGAAAGCTTTTTATGTTTTGAATTTATTTCAACAAAGTCTTATTAACGTTTTAGTGCTTTAGAGAAAAACTGAAAAAAAGGACAGAAAACAAAGAGAGGAAGGATGAAGACATATCATGCAAAGAACAGGGAGAACCAGCTAAAGAAAGAAAAACAAAACCTCCCCCCACTGTGGTGGCTTAGTACTGGAAAGGGAGGGATGCCTGGAAGGCCAGGCAGGCCAAGGTCTTTTCCCACATGATGTTACAGTAGAACAGACCGAGTCAGGACAAGCCGCAGTGTGCCCACAGCTCTGCTTGCTTTAACAAGACGTGTCACTGTGAATATGCTGTTGTGTGCGTGCGTTTGTGTCAGATCACCGAGCGCCAAATGTGAGTAATTGTGGTTACACTGGAAATACGTTTGGAGCTCTATTAGCTCAACCCTTCAGAAGACAAAAAATACAGACAGAAAATTATTCATTTGCATGTGTGTGTGTGTCACGCCTACTGACTTAAAATGATTTCATATGCCAAAAACACACACACACACACACAAAAAAGAAAAACTCTGCTTCTCTGTCAGGGTGAAAATTTGATCACCTTTACCAGAACAGACGAGCGATGCATTGCCTCTGCCTCCTACATAGCTTTTAAATCCAAGGCACCTACAATCTCTGCAACCATCTTCAAAACCTTGATGTAAAAATGACTAATTGTGTGAATGGATGATGAGGTTAATCTAAACAGTGACATGGTCCCTGAAGACCACCTACACTTCAGAGGGACCAGGCTCGGTCTCAGTGCTCATTAAACACAGGCAGCAGCGCACCCTTTTTAGTCTACTCCTTAACAAGCTCCAAGTGTAAAATAAGCCATTTGCACCAGAGAGAGCTGGTGACAAATCTGCATCTCTGATTACTTTTCAACAAACCAGGCCTGAGACATTGCCTTCATGTATCACCAGGTAGGGAAGGTGAAAAAGGACAAAGAAACAGGTCATACCCTCAGCTCTCCTCCTCTTAAACTCGCCTCTTCAAAGATGTCTTCTCGGCAGACATTTTATAAACGTGACCAGGAGGATAACTTTGACTCAAATAGGACAGCTTCACATAACGTCTACTTAAATATGAACATAGAAAAAGATTGTAGAGGAAGCTGAAAGCCCTGCATCATAAATACAACATATGATGACAGCAGAGTGAAAACTGGAAAACACAGAGGGTTTACAAACAAACCAAGCTAGAAATCGTCAGATCAAATCCATAAGAATTCATTAGAAATTAAGAATAATAATGATAATGGAAAAAAATGAACAGGCTCTTTACACATATAGCAAGAAAGACTTCAAATACTTACAATGTGAGCACATTTCCAGGGGGTAACTGGCTTCATTTCCCTGAGAAAGAGAAGAGGCAGATGTGTTAGAGGAAGTCATTGCTACAGATGTTGCATTAACATGACATTGACTGCATTTCACTCAAGACCACAAAAAAAAAAACATTTACAAAGATAAAACAGCCCTTGTTTAAAGCTGGCTGTTGTAGGAAATGTTAACCTGAGCATTAGGATCGCTTTATCAAACAGCTGTCGTTGCATCTTTAACGTTTTACGTTAAATTAAAAGTGGAACCGTTTCTAGCTGCATTTTCCCTGATAGACAAAATGATAACTTTAGAAATGAAGGACAGGAACTGACTGACTGATAAAAAGACTTCTGGCTTTGCAGTTTTTTAGTTTTATGCCATTTTCACACCGGGAGTTATGCGTTTAAATGTGGGTATACCCACTAAAATGAGCTGATTAAACCCACCCAGTAGCATCAGTTTCATCCTCCATAGACTACAGAGTCAAAATGGGTCCAATAACTGTTGCTATTTCTTAAGGGGGGGAAAACGGGTAACTATGACGACAACAGGAAATATCATTACACAGTTCAATTGGTTTATTATTTTTGACCTGAATGCAGGGTTTCGGCCCCACACAGCTGGTCTAAGAGAAAACCAGCTGTCATGTGTTAAGGTGTTAGGAAAAAGCATTTTTAAAAAGCTCCTGAGGGGAGTCATCAGCCTCCACCTGAGATGCCTCAGAGAATAAATGGGGGTTCCATCAAAGAAAACATGACAGATGCCCGTCCAACCTGATTTCTTCTTTAATCAACACTGATCTGACCTCTAGTGTGTAAATTTGGCATTTTTCATTAAAGAAAGGGCTCTTCTGAACCCAAAACCCAGATGTAAGCAGGAATCAGTTGGCATATAGAGCAAGGTCATTTTCATAAGCGTTACCAATTTTAGCTGATACTAGTTTCACTTGAACAAGCTGTTTTCCTTGTTGCATCTCAAATAATTAACACCCAGTGAGATGTGGTGACAGTGGAACTTATTTTCATGCCATATATTTGCATTTGAACGCAACTGGGGGGCGATGGTTATCGAACCATGCTGTGGAAGTATGGTCTTCTGATCCAAAGCAGCACAACCCCAAACGGAACAGCCTGTGCTGACATGATCTGCCAAGTGACACACAAGCGCAAGACTGTAGTCACAGTCGCTTAGAGCACGCTGGAAGAGCCCTGTTCGCTCAGAGGGATGGACTGGACCCTGACCTGCTGAGTAGAAATTTAGGGCTGTGTGTCCATGCAGTCTTCGTCATGTGACTACCTTTGATGCTTGAGTAAGACAGTGCTGGTCTCGCTAAAACAAAAACAAAAAATAATCCAAACAACCCCCACTTGAAGCGACACTTTTGAAACTATAACAACACTGCGGCCCTTCCCATAAACAATGTCCTCCTGACACTGCACAGCGGTGTGTGTGTGTGTGTGTGTGTGTG